CTGCTTGAGGATTTACATGTCGAATATATGAGTATATTTTATTATAAATTATTTCTCTATGTTTTTTCAGTTAGCATATTGGTTTATGCTTTAGTTAACATGTATATAGGTAAATTGTAAAATAGTAGTTTGGATGCTAACCTCTATTGGTTATATGTTACGTAAATCTCAAAGATCTTCTAGTTGAACCTTGCTTATTTTTTCACTTTGGTTTTGCTTTCTTTAGTAATGCCTTTTTTCATTTTTTAATTTTTTTCTGTTGCTGTCAACAAAGAATGCTATTAAATTTTATTTTATTTATTTTTTTTAGCTGAGCCATCCTGCTGCCTGTTGGCAGCTCAGCGGCAGCTCAGCTTGGGCCGGGACTTGAACCGCTATTGCTCAGAGCTCGCACTCTTGAGTGAGCTCTTAACCAACTGAGCCACTCGGTCAGCCCTGCTGTTAACTTTTTAAATTAACTTTTTATGGAGTATAGCATGCATTCATAAAGTGCACAAATCCTAAGTGTGTAATCACTACCCAGATCAATAATTAGAATATTATCAGTGACCTACAGTGCTCCTTTGGGTGCCATTCCCCCTTACCACTCCACCTGCCCCCTTCTCATTCCAAAGGTAACCACTATATTGACTTCTGTCACAATATATTTTGAACTTCTGAAATATCCTTCTCTCTCTCTCTCTCTCTCTCTCTCTCTCTCTTTCTCTCCCTCTCTCCCTTCTTCCTTCCCTTCCTCCAGTATGAACTAACTCTAACGTCTTTATGAGAATTCATCTCTGTTGTTTTGTGAGGCAGTAGTTCTTTATCAATGCTATTGGTTTTTTCCTCCAGCTTTACTGAAATATTGACACAAAACTGTGTAAGCTTAAGGTATACAATGTGTTGATTTCATACATGCAAAAACGGTTACCACCATAGTATTAACTACAACCTCCTTCTCATCACATAGTTGCCATTTCTTTTTTGTAGTGAGAACGTTTAAGATCTATACTTAGCAGCATTCAAGCATATAATATAGTATTGTTAGCTGTACTCACCACGCTGTACGTTAGATTCCCAAACTTGTTAATCTTATAACTGGAAGTTTGTACTCTTTGACCAATACCTTGTTCCTGCACAACCCCTGAACCCCTGGTAACCACCACTTTTACTCTGTTTCTCTGAGTCTGTCTTTTTTAGATTCCACATATAAGTAATATCATATAGCATTTGTCTTTCTATATCTGACTTATTTCACTTAGCGTAACGCCTTCAAGGTCCATCCAAGTTGTTGGCAAATGGCAGGTTTCTTTTCTAGTCTTTCTCATGGCTGAATACTATTTCATTGTGTGTGATGTGTGTGTGTGTGTGTGTGTGTGTGTGTGTGTGTGTATACCACCTCTTTATCCATTCCATTCATCTGTCCATGGACACTTAGGCTGTTTCCATATTTGTTGGCTGTTGTGAATAATGCTGCAATGAACATAGGATTGCAGATATCTCTATGACATCTTGATTTCAATTCCTTTGGCTATATATATACCCAGAAGTGCGATTTCTGAATATGGTAGTTCTCTATTTTTAGTTTTTTGATTGAGAGGTACCTCACTACTGTTTTCCATAGTGGCTGCACCCAATTTGCATTCCCACCTACAGTGCACTAGGGTTCCCTTTTCTCTACACCCTCAGGAATGCTTGTTATCTGTTGTCTTTTTGATTACAGCCATTCTCACTGGTGTGGGACAATATCTCATTGTGGTTTTGATTTGCATTTCCCTGGTGATTAATGTTAAGAACTTTTTTATGTACCTGTTGACCATTTGTATGTCTTCTTTGGATAACTATTCAGTTCCTCTGTATCCATTCTATTGGTGGACATGTTCACTTTTTCCAGTTTTGAGATATTACAAATTATGCTTCTGTGAACATTCTTTACATGTGCAATCTAATATGGATTAATACCAATTTAATTGCAGTAGTGTACAAAACTTTTGCTTCTGTTTACTTCCATTACCTCTCCTCTTCTTTATTTTATTGTCATACAAATTATAAGCCCGTCGACATAGTGTAATAGTTGTTGCTTTATGCAATTTTATCTTGAATAAGATAGGAGAAATGAGAGGGAAAAAAAATACATTTATCCTGTCTTTATATTGACCTCAAAGTCAGCCAGCGGTGAGAGATTAGGGCTTCCTTAGGTCATTTCCAGCTCTGTGCACAGCCCTGCACGTGTGCATGAATTTCTCAATTGCCAAGAATATATCATAGCTTATCAAAGATACCACACACACACACACACACACACACACACACACACACACCCACGCACCCACGCACCCACCTACACACCTACACACAGGATTCTCCAGCTTTTAAGTGTTTAAGTGTTTTGGTCAGTTTATTGTTTGCCCCATTGTGATCCCTGCCTCAGGCATCTGTGATGTTAAATAATTGTTGCTGATTGCTTTTGACAAATGCCTTGAAGGTAAAGCCTCTTTGTCCTGAGTAAACTCTGATTCAGGCCAAATAAAGAGCAACTCTGTAAATGGGGGTTTCCATGGTACTGTGAGACAGGTCAACCAATGACTTAGGCATAGGGCTTTCGGGTGGCTCTAAACCTGTTCTCCTCCAGTGGCTGTGGGATTGCTGGTTTCATGGCTACCATGAATGTAAGGGTTTCAGTTTTCAAGGCAGCAGACCTGAATACAAAGGGTTGGGAATAGAGTATGTTTAAAATACCACAATATCATTGTTTTATTACCAGAATTTTACTATTTTTCTTGAATAAATGTTTCTCAGATTGTTGTAAGCCTTTGGTTAATTTCCAGAGCTCGAAAAAGTTGATTTTTGACAGTTTTTGGTAGTGTTTGCATTGCTTTATGTAGGCATGTATTTCACCATTCTGAAACTGCTTTCTCTATGTCTGTCTTTATCTTTAAAATGGGTTTGTTTGTTTGTTTGTTTGCAGACAGCATATTATCTTGTTTCTTTAATCCAATCTGACAATTTCTGTCTTTTATTTAGAATGCTTAGAATATTTACATTTATGAAATTATCCATAAGAGTTGGTTTAAGGCAACCACTTTGTTATTTTCTGTTTGCTTTATCTGATTTCTTTCTTTTTGGAAAACTGCTTGCTATTCCTTTTAAGGACAGCAGAATTTGTAGAATTGTGAATGAGGGGAAAAAAGTCATGCTTTCTTGCATATATTACAAATTGGAAAGTGACTCAGTATTTTCCAGTGGGGACAATTAGAGCAGTATGAGCCATGGATGTATGTAATTCAGTTTTCTACTAGCTAAGTTAAAAAAGTTAAGAGAAGCATATAAAATTAATTTTAACAACTTTTTATTTAAATCAATATATTAAAAATATCATCCTTTCAAAATACAATTAACATAAAAGTTATTAATGAGGTATTTTACATTTTTTTGTAATGTCTTCAAAATCTTTTTGAACAGTTCTTCAAAATCTTCAAAATCTTATATTTTACAAGCATAACAACCCATCTCAATCTGAACTAGCCATAGCTACAGGCATAAGTGGCTAGCAGCTACCACGTTGGAAGACAGGAATTTGAGGGACTCGAAGACAGTTTGTTTTTAATGAGACAGAGTAGGAAATGAAGCTGATATACAGAATGAGATTTGCTTGATAACCATGATTTTAATAATCAATAGGGAACATATTAGGGCAAAAATGGAAAATTTGATAAGATGTGGATAGAATCAGTGATAGTATTGACTAAATGCTCTGTTGGGCACTGTTCTAAGCATTTTGAATGTATTGTGTTGATACATTTACTGTATGATTTTAAGTAAGTAAATCACCTATCGTTTCTTGGAGTTCTGTTGTTTTCATGTATAAAAAAATAAAAAACTATACTAGATAGTCTCTGAGCTGCTTCTTCATACAGAAAGTCAGTGGTTTTGGATACACTCATGAGGAAAACAAAATTCCTGTCCTCAGGGAAAGTGTAGTCAAATAAAAGAGGTGAAATGTACCCACCTAATTCAAATGCGTGGAGACAATAATTAGGACCTTAACAGAACTATAAAATTTTATGAGAATGTAAGGCATATTTACTTAGCTATAGTAAATTCATGACAAATGTCGAAATTAAATTGAATTGAATAATGATAGCTGGTGAGTCGGGAGCAGTTTTGTGTAGGAGCTGGCAGTTGGGGTAAGCCTTGGCAGGTGATGGAAGGAAATGAGGGGGCGATGGAATGGAGCAGTCAAGAATGGTGAGCCATAATGGAAGAAGGTGAGGCAAGGAAGCACTGTGTGCGTTCAGAGAACAATAACAAATATGCTTTGATTCTATTATTAGAGGGTGTTGTATAATAGTACTATGTGGGTACATTGGATTCAAGTCTTAGAGAACCTGTAGGTCCTGTTGAGGACATGGCTGATCACTGACAACGAAATACTGCAGCGATTGGAGAGACTGGGCCGTGTACTTTCAGAAACCCCACATTTTATGCCTGTACTTCCTGTCAACCATGAGGATAGTTAAGTGCAATTTCTTATTTTAAGACTTTTTCACTGGGCTAGAAACTTAGAATTCACTTGCTTTGAAACTTTGTCATATTGCTTTTGATTATGAGGGTGTGTATGGGCTGCTATTTAGAGTCACATTTGTGCTTTTTAATTTTTTTTTTTGGGGTCCTCTAATGTGCTGAGTCTTAATCCTTTGTGATTAAATGACACTGAAAAAGTTTGTGTAAGCATTCTTCAGCATAGAGTGGATGCCTAAGGATGACTGTTTAAAACTATTAGTACCTGTCCCAAGAGCCACAGAGCTTCAAATGGAAAATCATAGATCCTCTCAGAGGGATGGAAGTTATAAATGCCTTTCATTTAACTCTGTAAATGCCAGAACCTCTCTCTACCTTTGTATGTGTATTTTTATTAGCTTAGCTGACTAGTGCTTTATGTAATGTTTTGTAAGTCATGTTAGGAGGCTGGATCAGGGGATTCATTAAGCAGTTACATCATTCTATCTACTATCTTTCAGGTAACTTGTCCAGGAGTGGTGCTGAAAGACAAGGAGGACATCTATCTTAGCATCTGTGTGTTTGGCCAATACAAAAAGACACAATGTGTCCCAGCCACTTTTCCACTGGTCTTCAATGCCAGAATGGTGTTTGAAAGGGTGAGTTCAAATCTCTGATCAAAGTTAACAAGCAAAAGTGAAAGTGGCTCCAAATTTTGAACAAAATCTCAGAACACAAGTTATTATTGCTGTCTATGTACTTTGATTTAATTTTCAAAAGAAGATTTGTAACATAAACCTGGAAGCTTGAAAATAAATATGCATTACATATACATTGAAATCAAATGACTCTTTTTCATGATGGATCATTTTATTTCTAAAATTGTCATGTGAGCTTTATGAAAACATACCACGTTGAATTCTAACTAATCATTTTCATAAAAAAGAGAGAGGCGATATTAACAGGTAAGAATAAGTCATATTTTACTTAGGGCTGTCTTGTACTTCTTTCTGTAAGTCTCTTTTCTTTGTTCCCGCCTAAAACTGCTGCTTTTGGTTAATTATTACCAATCATATTTCTCACTTTTTAAATTTCCTTCTCTACTTCCCTCTCTCTTTTCCCCTCTCCCTCCCTCCCCCCTCTCCCTCTGTCCCTCCCTCCTTCCTTATGTTCCTTATCAGTGGTGTCCTGACCCTGGTGTCCTCTCCCCTCTTCCCC